TTACCTGTATTGTTTTCTTACAACCCTGCATTAAACCATTTTGTGAATTTATTCCTAATATAGAATCTTACAGATTTTACATAGAGTTTAAAGTTTTTATAAGAAAACGTCAAATTGCTTTCTATATAATAAAGTACTTAGGTAGGTAAAAAAGTACTTAAGTAGTGTAGGTAAAAAATTGTTTATCAAATCATTTAAAAATTGGGGAACTATTTTAAAAACGGTGTAATAACGAGACCTAAGATTAACCCCATTATTGAAGCAAAATTAAAAGAAAACTGTAAAACAAAATAAACAATACGCCAACCTATATAAGCCAACTGATTTAACTGTTATTATTTCAATACACCACCATGACACCTCTGTTTACTCATTCCAAATTTAAAGTACAGTAACATTAAAATAAGAAAAAAAAATACCGTGAAATAGATAACTCATTGATGAAGTAGTATCCAGTTAAAAAGAAGAGGGAGAACAATCAAACAGCATCTGCTGCTTTATATAATTATTTTTTAACAATAACCTTTCAACCAAGTAACATTTAAGGATCGCCTTTTTTCTAGAATCATTTGATTCATAAACCGCCATATTATGAAAGGTCAATATAGGAGGCTGTAACTGCTATAGGGGCCTAAATCGAAATGGGTCCTTTGACGAGATTCGCTATTTTGTTTCCTCATGTCTTCTAATATAATCTTTGATCACTTGGAATGGTTTATTTCAGTTTGTTTGGTTCGTATGACTTTTAAGTGAGCTGATGTCACGACACCATTGAAGGATTTTTAGACGACAGCCAAACATAACCTCTAAACTTGAACAGCAATCTTCTCAAAACATCAGTTTTTGAGATGGGCCCATTTAGCAGCTACAGCCTCATCAGCCATAGAAAACCGTGGAAGCCAAGTGTTATATAGTAGTGTTATATAGGTAGTGTTATATAGTCAATGGTATTACTCATCCGAGGTTGTCAATAATCAGGGTATAGTTAAATCACGCATACAAATAAGCACAGTTAGACTAATGCATGGTAGGCCCTATAGCAAGACGAAAAATAGAGCGTAATACATGATCCTAACGCTTCTGTTTTCAACGTTCGCTAATTTGTTTGACCTCGTCTTAAATATCGGCCATTAAACGTGAGATCATGTCGAAAAGAGTCATTTTAAGCCTAAGTGATAAAGTATACTTATTTGTGATCTTTCCAAGAAGAGGGCCGCCACTCTGTCACAGTGTGCTACGGATTGCGTTTAGGTAAGGTTAGTTTAGTTTATGACAAACAAGTTAAAAAGATAGTCTGCACTCGAGGAAAAAAACCAAGAATATCCCACATCGAAAATCGTTTCACCACCAGAACTATTTGTATTACATAACTCTAGACGATAACCGACGGTAGTAAAGCGAGCACTTCACGTCCAACACGGCGACACTTCATGCATACGATATTTACAACCACAAGCACACGGCGCATACCGGGCGATTCAATATTCGACGTTAATACGTGCGGTATCGTAAACGTTCGCGCACAGAGTCGGTAACCGTGTAAATCCACCGGACAGTTACGACGATACGAAGACCACCGGGTGAACGTCCAGGCGTAGTGGAGGCGTAGCCAAGGGGGTGGGGAAAGAGTTGTGTAGAAAAGTGTACGTCAAAGATTCCCGCGTAAACACGAGTCCAAGTGAATAAGTGCAAGTAAATGAGAGTGAGTAAAAATGTCCAAGTACGTGAATGATTACTGCTCGCCATCGAATCTGGAGAGTTATACTATTGTTCAATTTTTAGTAGTATTTTGACACAGTGACCTTTTGTCATTGTGATGACAATTAAAAAGAAAGAATTAAACAAATGGTCAAAGTAATATAGTAAACAGACCAGACCGTAGTTCAATCTTATGCTTTAAAAAACCGTAAACCACCCAATGACGTTATAAAATAGAAAATAATATGAAATAGATGTGAGTATAAATGAATTTAGCTTACACAAGTTAAAATTTGTGGTTTCAACATAAGAATGCAAATGACTCATCTGCAGCAAACCTGTGCAGATTCGCAGTAACCTTTTATTGCTTTCTCCATACGATTAGGTTTAAAATAAAACAAAACGGAATTTACACATTTAGTTCAACCATAAAATAAAAGATGAATATAAAGAAATATTTATGACGTTACACAAGCAGTATAGATTAATTAGTTAATCCTCCATGGGGATAATATGCCAAATAAAACCGCATACATTCGGCACTAAAAACAACCTCGGTAATAAACGGGTATAGAACAAAATCAAAACATACTCGATTGCTATAAGCTTGTCAAAGATTCAACGTAATTATTACTTTTTTACGAATAAATTGTGGATTACACGTTGGATACAAATAGATTAACTCATAACAGATATACTATACGAATTAAGAGTATTTTTTACATACCACTCAGTCGTTCAAACTATTCAGATCACTCCACCAACACTTACCTAAAACAAAATTATCAAATTACACATCGTTGTGACAACTACATTATATTATGTATACAGTAAATGTGTAGTGATACTTTTTTTCAAATTAAGATTATTTTATGGACCTTCAATAATTCAGACAACAAAGAAATCGAAACTAATCCGGGTTTCCATACACCATTGACCATACCATTGACTAACATACTTCAGTATCCAAAAGTCAATGATACCACATACCATGCAAAGGATATACTAATTCTACACTAGCTAAGGAGGGTTTATAATAAATCCTACTACTGTAGTACAAGGCACTACTACTCCCCACAACGCAGCACTGACTGCTCTTTGCATCTGCATAATCACGGCGCACCACGTGTGCAGGTCAGAAATATACCTTTAAAAATTTATTGCAATTTCAAAAGCGGAAAACGTCACTAAATGTACATGATACGTCTATATATGTTCATGATGAGTTGCGTTTGTAATAATTCTTTCATTGGTCTCTTTTTTACTAAGTATTCAAGGTACAGTAAAAATCAAACGGTTATTAGCGAATTAGTTTGTCTAGTGGGCTTGGATAGTGTATTTCAAAATCTCTTTAAATAACTAACTCTCATTTAAAATATCTTATTTCATTTGAGTCACCTAAAATTATGGCTCGTGTGAGATTCCGAGTTTCGTACACTAATTTTTATAACATGCCAAGCTGTTTTAAAAGCAGTGTTTTTGTTAACCATATCATCTACAGTACTGTAGTATCATAGTAGACCTAAAAAAAATAAGGCTCATTCAATTAGGTGCTCTTGACGTGAAAATATGGCTAGAGCTGATTCGTATAAACATGTTGTATCACAGATAATAAGAACACCATAGTTATTATAAAGATAATTGGTTCCTTAGTCTATGGTTGTATCCAAAGTTTGTCTATGTACCATCATCAAACGCCCTTTGAAGAAATGGCCCTAAATAATCAGGCAAAGATTTGTTTTCTATAATTTAAAATCGACTAAACCTATGACGGAATTTAAACTAGCCGTGTGTTGTCCACTAAAATATAGTTTGAGTAAAAAAATATCATGAGGAAAATCTTTAAAATGTTTATAGATTCACATCATTCACATAGATGGATCATTCACATTCAGCTAACACAACTTAAACTATTAATATTTGAGAAACGAACATAAGTTGAATGGTAAAAGGCAAATGAAAAATAAATCAACAAACTGGTATGCTAAACCCAGCAAAATGACTTTCCAAAGTGAATTTCGACGATAAATAACACCTATCCATCCATATAGCACGGCGGAGAGGTTAAAGGTCACTAATGTCCAAATTTGGCTCCCCAAATACGCGATGGAGCCAGTTTTGGAGATGCGGATTGGAAAGTGCGTTGTAATTTTTTAATAACCAGTAACTGAGGACCACCTCTGTATTCATTGGGGCCACCAACATACGCAGGCAAAGATCTGTTTACCATTTATGGCCATTTTTGACACAACTGCACTCGAATTTAAAAATAAATCGCTCACCCCAATCTCTAAGTAAAATGTTCATATCGGTACTGTTCTCGTATATAAATCAGATGATTACGAGTTGTTAAATATTGTTACCCATTTTTATCACTCTGGTACTCAAAACTAACCTTATTCGGAATTCGAATCCAAAAAATAAAATATATTTCAAATATCGTACACTTGGGAGAAATACTTCAAGAGATTCCATTTTGACTTAAACGAAATTCTCCTTAGAATTGATATACTTGCATGAAAGGGGACACACTGCTAAGTAGGCTAAGTAATTGGAATATGAAAGTAGGGTGAGTTAAGAATGGAGGCGATATGAGACTGCAGATCTGAGGCTAAGAACAGATGTCTCGCTATCCATGTGACCATTCATAAAAGCCCATTGATCAAAACACAATGACACAAGGTCTAAGAACATTTTTTTGTATCTCTTGAATATCTAACGGTAACGACAAAAATCCTTAAGTTGATTGATTGCATTTTACGGTAACTTTTAGAAGAAATACATCATACAAATATATAATCCCACAAATAATTTTTTCTGGATTGCAAAAACGATTACATATTTGGGAACAACAATAAAGTGTTTCCTACCAAGTGTTACGCACCTCTGTATGTCTGGTTTCATTTGTCTCACTATTGAATATCAATTAACAATTATGGGGAATATCAATTATCAATAGATGGGGACGCCTCTATGTGCGTATTTTAACCCAAATACTGTATGAGAGAAGGGTGAGAAGATGAGTGTAGTATGAATGGCGCGATTTTGTAGTCTTGTTACTATGACCGACATATTCCTTAGACACAGCTGTTAATTAATAGCCCAAACAGCTATTGGCAACTAAGGGACCTACAGTTTATACTTACTTACTTACTTACTTACTTGATACTTGTATTCTTGATCCTTGACTGACAATGTCAGATAGATCGCGTCATGTCTTTAAAGATGTAAAGACTTTTAAATACTGTAAGTTACTATAATAAAACTAATATTTACAACTACTGGTGGTATGGCGGACGTTTTTACTGTAATGGGAAGAGTGGTATCTCATTTAGCTCCCCCAGCGAATATAGTGGCCTATTCACGAGGGCCTTATGAACAACTTTTTTAAATTCTGTCATGCCCATCTCTCGAACTTTTGACGGCAGCGTGTTGAAGATTTTTATGGCCGACCTAGGGTAGGACTTCAAGGTCCGTTCGAGTCGACAGCGCGGAAGGTCCAAATCCTGAGCTCTTCGAGTGCTGTAATTATGATGATCTTCCCTTTTCATGAAGTCGCTCCTATTTTCCTTCAGGAGTGTGAGCATGTTGTAAACATACTGACTGTACACTGTGAGGATCTTCAGTTCCCTAAAGATAGGCCGGCAATGCTCATAATACCCAGATGATGTAATGACTCTGAGCGCCATCTTTTGAAGTAAGAGAACATCCCTTGTAGCAGGGGAATGCCCCCACAGTATCAATCCATACATCACGTGACTATGGAAGAGAGCATGATAAACCGTTGTAAGGTATGGCTGAGTTATTAAATCCCTAAGTTTCCTTAGAAGATACAGCACTCTTGAAAGTTTGACACATACCTTGCTTATATGGTGGTTCCATGTGCACCTCGAGTCGACCCAGAAACCCAGTAGTTTGACCGGTTCACCCTCTTCTACCCCTGCACTCAGAGTGCATTCGAGGGATTGGGTTTTATCCTCGTTTACCTTAAACTTGTTTGATACGAACCAGGCCCTTGCTTCCTCCAGTAAGTATTCAGCCTCAATGCGTAGCTCCACCAAGCTCCGACCTCTTGTGATGAGGGTGGTGTCGTCTGCAAAAAGTAATGTACGACCATTAAGATGTAGATCATTTATCATCACTGAAAATAGCAAAGGGCCAAGGACTGATCCCTGAGGTACTCCATGGGGTAAAAGGCCTACGCTTGACGAGGTCCCCTCCAGTGACACTACTTGTTTCCTATCTTTAAGAAAACTCTTTAAAGACTCTAGCACACAACCTCCAACTCCATAATGCCTTAGCTTAGCCACCAGGATGTCGTGGGAAACAACATCAAACGCCTTGCTGAGATCGCAAAGGCTTAGATGTACGGACTCACCATTTTCAAAGGCGTCAGTAATAACATTAGCAAGGTTGGTGAGTGCTGTTGTGGTGGACCGCCCACTCCTGAATCCGTGCTGTGCATTGTTAAGTAGCCTATTCGTTTCAAGCCACTTGACTAGTTGCCTTTTCATTATCGTCTCAAACACTTTAGAGAATATAGGCAAAATGGAAATCGGTCGGTAGTTAGCGGGGTCAACGGGATCTCCTTTCTTGTACACCGGTATTGTGCGAGCTAACTTTAAGCAATCAGGAAAAACCCCTTTGCTGAGACAGGCATTTACTAATTTAGTTAAAGGGTCAATTATCGTGACAATGATTCCCTTTAGTACTGTACATGAAATTCCATGAACGTCCTGGCTACTAGACTCCTTAAACCCATTTACAATTTTAAGGATGTATGAGGTATTCACTCTCTCCCAAACATTGAAGGTGTGTTCCGTTGATATGCCACACAACGCTCCACAAGGATCTGTGTGACTAGTAGGCAAGTCAGCAACTATCTTGTCCGCTACCTGTACAAAGTAAGTGTTAATCTCATCAGGTGTCAATGATGGTTTCGGCTTTGCTTTAGACCCCTTCCTATGGGCATTAACTAGATCCCAAGCTGCTTTGCAGGTATTCGCTGCCTGACTAATATGCTCTATATTACTAGTCTTTTTTGCTTCACCGACTTGAATGCTGTAATCTTTTTTAGTTTTGGTATACAGAGCAAAATAATTAGCTTTTTTAATAGGGTCATGTTCGGCCTTGTAGAAGTCATGAAGTAGGATAGACCAAGCGCGCATCCTGGCCAGTTCAGGTGTATACCACTGTTTGCTCCTAGTTATATCCTGTTTGTTTTTAGTTACTAACCCAGGCTTTTTTTTGACAACTCTAGCAGGGAAGACAGAGTCAAAAATATTTTTAAACTTATCAAAAAAATTTGAAAAAGCTAGCTCAGGATCTGTAACAGATTTTGGCAGAGACCAAGCACTTTTTTCTAATTCTCTACATAGACTAGGCAAATTTTCTCTTCTAACTACACGCTTAAAGCTAGTGTAAGAATCAAGACAAGACTGGTGGTTACTTACTTGCTCAGTTTTCACATTCAAAACCACAGCTCCGTCATGATCGGCAACCAGTGCACTAACCACCTCCGATCTGCAATCCCAGCTGTCGATGTTTGTAGCGATGGTGTCCAGACAGGCTACACCACGGGTCGGCAGTCTTGAAGTGATATACAGTCCAAAACTTCGCAGTAGGTTGGTAAATGCAGTCTCTTCTTTAGATGTTACTTCCAGGTGAATGTTAAAGTCCCCACCGATCACAATCTTCTTTGAGGTAAATTTGGTTAAATACAGAAGACAGGACTCTAGTTGCAGCTGAAACAAGTCGAAGTCGCCGTCTGGAGGCCTGTACACTGCAACAAGTATGGTAGAAATTTCCAGTACCTCAACAGCTGTAACTTCAAATATGCGTTCAACGCAGTATGGTTCCGAATTTAGCTTCTTGTAGGTAAATCTATTTGAGGCAAAAATGGCCACTCCACCATTTTTATGAGCACTTCGGCAATATATATTGGCTATTTCTAGTTCATCACAACCAACTGTTCTATAAAACTCACTTTCATCATTAGTAAGCCAATGTTCTGATATAAGTAGGAAGTCACACTTTAACTCATCTGTGAAAAGTGACAGAAGGTTGATTTTGGTTCTAAGGCACTGCACGTTAACTACTGCCACCTTCACCTCACTACTATTTACTGAATGAACACTAGGCCTAGGCCTATCTCTGCTGCTTCCAGTTTTCTTTAGGCCTACCTCACTTCCTTGTAGCCTAGGCTCATTGACACTGCTTACTACAGTTATGTATTTTGAGTCCGATACACTGTACGCCCTAAAAAATGGTTTTGCCTTTTGTCAGGGTTAGGCTTAGCACTGCGCTTGAAGGGCAAGTAGTCTCTAACCAACACACCCGTAGGCCAAAAATTTGGATCCAAGATGCTGGAAGATGATTTGACAGGCACTCCAACTTTGAATGACTTATACTCTTGAGATCTTGTATTTAGTTCAGTGCATTCAACTTGAATGACCCCTCTTGTAGTTAAATAGTTCAAAACGGTGTCACTAGACAATTCTGGAGAAACACGAGACACGAAGTAGAATGACTTTTTGCAGGCAGATTTTAAGCTGGCGCTGACTTTGTTTGTACCAATAATTACATCACTCTTCCTTTTGTTTTCAGCCTTTTGAATTTTAGGCCTTGCATCATATATGTGTTCCCTTTTAGATGAGACAACGTTTGAATAAAGAGGTTTCTGAGAACTACTTTCAGTGTTTTCAATGTTACTTTTGTCAATTACAATACTCTCACTCTCGACACCAGATTCGGATACGGAGACAGAATCATCAACAGACTTAAGTTCAATGTTCAATTTCGTTCCTCGAGTCATGGTTCTGTTTTCCCGTTCCATTTCCCCACTAAGTGGACTTTTACGTATTTGGGTATTTTTTGGTTTATTTCGTTGTTCCTTCCTCCTTTTGGGTGTTCTGGTTACTGTTTTTTGATGAAGAGTTTCAGACGCAACAGTAGATTCAGTTTCAGTTTGGCTCATTTTCACTCTTTCCAGTTCAGTCCGATCGTATTCAGTACGTTCACGCTCTGATGCCTCATTTTTTTCCTCGTGAACCTCAACAGCCACTTGAATTTTGTCGCTATCCTGATTGACCAATGGAGAGTGAGGAAGTTTGCCAGTTTCAACCAAAATGTTTGAAACGTCTGTGACGTCACTTTCATTCATGTTTTGGTAACCCATTTTGGGATCTTCTAAGTTAACCTCCAAACTATGATATCTTAGCAATTGACTAACACTAGTTTTAGTTTTTATGCTACTGTTTATAAGGAACTTAAGCTTTCTTTCCACTGATATCTGAAACGATTTTACGTAATCCTGCACTTCTTTCAGTTCATTACGAAGTCCGGATTCTGATTTAGCCTGAGCAACGAGAACCTTAACTTGGGTAGCGCACGCCGGGCAAAACCAGTTAACTATGTCTTCAATCTTCTTTATATCTTTGAATTGTTTCGCATTTATGTTAACGCACTTGGCATGATGCCACGAAGCACAAAGACCATCACAAACAATAGCTTTTTCTTCGTCTAAACATATAATATTGCAGACCGGGCATACTAGCACATCTCTATCGTCCGCCATTACCCTAAGAGTCTAGCCCAAGAGTCTATAGTGGAATCCGAACCACATTCTTGCCTTGGTATTAACGAATCGGTCTAATTATCAGAATATTACTAGTACTCACTAGAGCGGAAGTTAATCCACACCAGGGTGTATCGCATCCACAGTGCATCTCTACAAATATCCACAACTCGTGACCTTGTGATCTACCATACAAAACTCCATTTGATCCATATTCACCCAAATATCTCGTTGTAGGTTACGACACGAGGTGGAGTTTGTTAGAATGTATGTAAGTATACTGTACCACAAACATTCCATGTTATCCAACAGAGATTTCCCAAACATTCCCATTCAATTCCAGCAACATTCCCGATGACGCAACAACGCAGGCTCCGGAGACGCTCAATGGTCAACAATGGTACAAATAGCCCGTGGCCCGATGGTCAGACATTATCACTGTTTACCATCGCCTATGATTTACCCGCGCGTGTCCCCGCCTTTCCCGCCTTATAGGATACCCTGCGCATCTACAGATCTGATCGCGCATCAGTGAAAGCTGATCGTGAACATCGCAGCCTAGTTGCGACATTTTTTCTCCATTTTCGCATTGTCCGATGGGACGACCCTTGACAAGCGTGGTCTATTGATAGATTGTTTCTGGATAGCCATGTGTGTGCTTGGAGATTGTGAGATTCTGTGGATGGATTGTTGTACGGACCTTCTTTCATGTTTGTCTTTAAGGTTCGTTTACTTAAAGTAAGGGGCTTAAACTTCCTGGGCAGCCATTATATTTTAAAGGTAAGTGTGTGTAAGTACTGCTGACGTGTGTTTAAAAAATCCAGCTCTACGATTTAATTTGAAAACTAAGCAGATTTAAAAGTTTAAACCTACTTATTTTCAAAACCCTAATTTTAATGTCAATACTTTAATACTTTCTTATGAAATGGCGAACATACAATGTAGGTATTTTAAGTCAAGTATGAATGGAGATGAGTGTAGGATGAGTGGCGCGATCTTGTAGTCTTGTTAGTGACAAAGGCCGACATTCCTTTAGCCCAAACAGCTAATGGCAACTAAGGGACCTACAGTTTATAGTGGAATCCGAACCACATTTTTTCCTTGGTATATACGAATTGGTCTAATTATCAGGATAGTACTGTGGATAGTCGTAATCAATAGGTCCAAAAGAATATGACTACATACCTTAATGTAGCAATAACAATTACTTGATATTGATGCTTCATAAATGAGATGTTCTACCATAATTCTTCAATTTTAGTCAAGCCTACTATGTAGTTTACTATATAAATTACAAAATGAAACTTTGAGCAATACTTTACAAAACGTATACAACCTTTCTTTAAAACCAAACATAACCCTCCTAAATCTACATAAAAAAAATATTTTTCGAGTAAATAAACAAACACCAGATAATTGCATTGACCAGCTGTTTCATTAAATAAATTTAATAAAATTATTTGGAAGCATGTCATGTGTAGAATAGTTTATAGACTACTGAACCATGGTGGAAGGAAAAACATAGGTGTGCTATTCCCGTCATATTCTGATAGCACATCTATGTTTTTTCCTTCCACCATGCTACTGAACGATAAGATAACCAATTCATTCCGCAACAACATATTAATAACTAAAATTCACTGGAAAGTGTGAACGTTTCAAATAGTTACAGTTCCCGTACAGGGGAGCGGAAATCACCAAGGCGAGCTTTTAACCTCGATATAGGCAAATGGTGATGCAGTTAAGGGCCAAAGTTTTGCTATAAACAGTAAAAGGGATGTTTTAAAACTCGCGCGTGACGAAAAGTCGCACTGCGTGACCACAAAGTAAATCGCGCATTTACACCCATAATGCAACGTTCCATATATGAGATGTTAAAACGGTTTACCGCAACGGGGTTTCGAGATAATGGTGAGAGTTAGTTTTTACTCAGTTGTGTAAATTTTAGAAAACTGAAACAAATTTTATTAGACCAAAATAATTAATGCCTGGTAAGTTTGTCTAATTTGAGCTAGCATACTGTTGAAACGGTTAATGTCGTATTCCAAACAATGCTTGTAGTTTTATTACTGATTAAAAGTTGACGATACAGTTACGAAAAAATTACTGTATACGGATAAATTACAGCACATCAAATAATGTATGTGGCCTATTTACGAGCATAAACAGTCGAAACTTGAATTACACTTTATTTGATGTGCTAGCCTCAAAATTGTGTAATAAAAAACGACGATACGTAACAAAAAGATTTTGTTTTATATATGGACTAAAGAAAATGTGAAACTGTAAGAAAAAGAATTGGTGGAGACACTAGCGCCAGCAGTAGGGGAAAGCTGGAACTACGTGAACGCTTGAGAACAACAGGACAATCGTAGCTTGGTTTATAGACCGATTATTTGTTAAGTAGGGTCTTTTGGTAGGGAAAATAATCGGTTTTCAAGGATCACTTTGTTAAAGGAGAATAATACTGTAAAATTAGAAAATCTATATTTTAGGTACTTTCTTAAACATTATTGTTATGTATTTAATGACTTTATAAGCAAAACCCAATTTACTCGATTTTACAATGATACAGAATTTTGAATACGTTAGCCGTATTAACTCCCATAAACTATCCTTCAAATTAGCTCACATTAAATACTCTTGCCTGGGCAAGGATTATTTTGATTTTATAATTTGGATGGAGAGTTCAACAAATATACTGTAATATGTCAAAATTATATTGTAATAAAAAAACTAAAAAGATATACAAGCAGCATTCAAATAGAATAAGAAGTATAACTAAAACATCATGAGTATGAACCATTTTATAATTTGTTGCACAAAATATTTAATACTATAAAATCTAAATTATTAATATTATAAACAAATCTACAATACGCGCCTTATTTTGGCTGTAGTCCACAACTGCGGCAAACGTTTTACTGACTAAACACAAAGGTTGTATAATGATTTGCTCGATGAAACATTCACGGTCTATGATCGATACTTGTCAACCTGGATGTTGACACGATTTATCATTCCCTTACTGTCTGTCAAAGAGCTGTTGACTTCATACATATTTAAACACGAGTTTTTGGTGGTGAAAGTATGTTTCTATTTTTTTTTTTGTTCGCCTACGAAAAACTGTAATGTTTTTTAAAAGAATCACGAGGTCTTAAAATGTTTTCGCATTTCAAAGTTTTGCTTCGTTGTTTTAACTATCCAACAGCAATACTGATAGTGAGTTTAACAGGAATTGATAATTGAGGCACAACAAACAATTTATTCTGTCAATTTGCACAACTTACCGCTATCTCTCTCTGAAGATAAGCATTGTTATCATCTGTTCTTAGTTTCACCGAGACGAATAAGATAAGTTAGAACATCAAGGCAGATAAATACATTGTAACATAATTAACACGTCTATAATAGCAAAACACGACTAAAGAATATGCATAGAACGTATGAAGCAATGCAAGAGATGAGCAAATACAATGCAAAAATTAAGCGCTAAAACAATTTTATGTGGCTTTGAGAAGCTAACACACGACATCGCTGCCTTTGTTTTAAAGTTCCCCAACTTAACATTGTTGTAAGCGTTTTGATTACACATTACAACTACATTTCAGTAACTAAGAACGATTTCACCAACTACTAAGGGGGGCTCAAAACAGGTAAGCCCTTTTAAAACACATCTCTGAACCAAACATCGAGGAACGAATCCAAACAGATTCAATTTATCTCTAATATCTGAGGTAATATTTCGAGTTCGAGGCTATTTGGACTCTCTTAGTTAGCCACCATTAAAACGGTTGACAATATTTAATGAACCAAACATTAACCGAGCAAGAAACCTACCTATGCATAATTGGGTAATTCAATATGGAAAAATGTTATCTTGCTTTCTTTTCTCACGTGCTCGTCGCGGTGTGTGGAATTAATTGGCTATTCACCATGTGTTTGGCTCCCAGAACTAAAACTGACATCACACCGTCCTCAACCCCACACCTCACACTGCAAATCTTGCAAACAATGTCACTTTCTACAACCAGATAGGATGAAGGTTCATAAAACAACGAGACGGATGGCCTGCACAGGTGAGATGGATATGTAAATTGTTTGAGAAGTGTATACAAATGGTTTGGCAAAAGGTGAACAGCTTAAACCATAGATACTCGATTTAAGATTTATCTTTCAAGAGCTGCAACAATTTAAAGGTTATAACTCCGTGCACTTTAAATGAAGAGGCACCCTATTTGTTGTATACTGTTTTTAACTTAGCATTTTATTCATATCTCTCTCGCTGATTACACCATTTTACAATGCTATAAAATATCAAAGACATAAAATGTACAAATCTAAGCGATAACATGAAAATAAAGGGTTTGAGCGTCATAACTAAAATAAAAAAAAACATTTGGACAAACTATAAATAGACTAATTCAGAACAACCAGATAAGTTTAGAAGATAATTCACAATGGCAATACAAAATATATGTTTCGCTGAAGAGTCATAAATGCCAGATATCACGTTGACAAATAAAATTGAAGAAAATGTATGTCAAAATGAAATAAAATCAACAATATAGGCCTAACAACAACTATGGTTGAAATTTAAT